CCCTCCTCATCCTCGACATCAATCTGGCGGCAATAGGGAGTCAAGAAAACAGGAGAAGGGAGTCATGTGACTAAAACAGTATGCATCTTCTTATTTCGGAGTGTAAATCTTCAAATAGCCTTGGGAAATAAGTTCGCGTGTATGTAAGCATCAACTGGGGGGTGCATCTGGCTGACTATCTCTAGACAATCCTTAAAAATGGCAAGCAACCACTGAATTCATCATTTCCAAAAAGGAATTCATGCATTAAACGTCCTAATGCCTACAGTAGGTGGGTTAACTCGTGAAATGTCAATCGAAATTTCGAAATGCATTCTGGTTTCGAAAAGAATAATTAAATAAGGTTGTGAAACTAATAATCATTCAGCATAATTCTATGATGATCCAGTTACCTCAGGGTGTCGGCTTTCGAATGAACATATTTCCGACTACAATATACTCTGAAAAAATGACCAGCATGCGATTTGCTCATTGATTTTCGATGCTCTTATGAATTCAATTATATTTCATGGAAAACATGCATAAAAATATTCATTCTTTTACTGATTTCGTAGAAAATCACGTCTTCTTCCAATTTTATACTCAAAAGGAGAGTACAATTCGCTTTTAAAAAAATTCTCTACTTCCCGAATAATTTTGAATCCAACCTGCTGTTACATTTGGATTCAGGGTTTCCAAACTACAAGCCATGTATTTTCCGCGTACGGAAAACCAGACATTTCTCTACGATATTAAGGAGACACCATATGAGGTTCATAAAATTAAGCAGTGGATTCGAGCAATGCTGTTAACTTTACAAGCCACATTCGTAAGTGCAGATACGTGACGTTTTATGAACGACCATTTCACGGTATTAAAAAATCTAACAATTAGAAGCCTTTTTTAAAACCAAATTACACCCTTCCTTTGAATGTAAAATTGATAGGAGACGTGATTTTCTACGAAATAAGTAAAAGAATGAATACTTTTACGCATGTTTTCCATGAAATATAATTGAATTCTTAGGAGCATCGAAAATCAATGAGCAAATCGCATGCTGGTCATTTTTTCAGAGTATATTGCAGCCGGAAATATGTTCATTCAAAAGCCG